CCGGCCCACGCCGCGCGGCGATCGAAAACGATCTCGGACCCGGAAATCTCCTGCCCCGAGGCCACGAGCTCCTTCGAGGCCTCCTTGACGCCCTCGATGCGCGCGAAACACGGCAAACGCCACCGCCATTACGGGCGCCGCGCCGGCTCCACGGAGAGCTCGCCCGAGCGCGAGCGGAAACACGTCGCGCTCGAGATCCAGCTGCGCGCTAATCAGGATCTCGTGGATTAGCATTCCCCCCCTTTTTTTTTCCTTTCTCGTGAAGCAGACCACCTCAACAAAATGATCACACTTTGAGGCGAAAAGGACTCGAAATCGGATATATCCAATACCATTGAACCCACGCTTTGGCTGAGAGTCCTCGACTTTGGCGTGTGGGAAGTGAAGGACGGCTTTTTACGTCCAGGATTCTTTTTTTTATATTTTTCAGATTATTTTCTTCGCTTTGGGTTATTTATTCATAAATTTAAGAGCGGATTTCTACAAAAAGGGGCTGAGAGGGACCACCGTGCCGCAGGTTATCATTATTCCGATTTGTGATATTCCCACATGCGAAGGTCTGAGGGCAAAAATGGTTTATTTTCGTCTTTTAAATTACTGTTTATGAGGCTGTGTGAGTGTGAACTTGGAAATATACAGTAGCTCCTATTTTTTTCTTTGTTTTAAGCCTACAGTACTACTCTTAACCCTCTAAGAATAACTTTTTGGGTTTAATATTGACGTGATATCATTATTTATATCTTTATTCAATTGGGAAAAGACTTTATTTTGAAAAAATGCTTTGATCATTTTTTGTTCCATTTCTGATTAGTAATACATTTATTCACCCTAATTGATGCGCGTACACCTCTTCTGTGTACGTGTGTAATTTGAGTTGGTTTTGTAATTTTGGTGTTTGGTGTGGGTGTGGGTGGAGCTATTTATAAATGAACCGCAGCGGTAATGGGATACCACCGGAGCTGAAATTCATAAATTCTCTTTCTTTCATTGCACAATTACTTCCGCAGGCATGGTGTAAATATTAACCTCATCACATGGATGACTTCTACAAACGGAATCAATCAATTATATAGATATATATATCTATATATATATATATATATATCTATATATATATATTTCTTTACAATACAGCCAGTCGAGATTAATAAAAACAACAACAACAACAGCAACAATCCCTCCAAGGATAACCGCTTTCCGCAGGTCTCGGCGATTGTTGGGATCTCCCACATGCAAATCGAGTGAGGTGGGGTTCGCGTGTAGAGGGGCTTCCGCGTGTGGGACGCGGGGAAGTCCCTGCGCGCGTCCTTTCGAGAGAGGGCGCCCCCCCCGGGCCGGACGCCAAACCTCCTCCTCACTCGGCCTCAACACGCGATTTCATCGCGGTTTGCGTGTGTGAGGGCATCTTATCCGAGGGCTCGCCAAACGACTTCGCCCTTTTTTTTTTTGTGGATTAAAATGCCCTGGGTCGAGTCCATGGACCTTGCGTTTCCATCTTTTATCATGTGATCTTTATTCGCGTAAGCGCTCGTGAGCGAAGATGCCTTTCTCTTGACGTTTTTTTTCCCGAACTTCAGTCCCTAATAGCGATGGCACCGCGGAGAATGAAAAGAAGAGAACGACTGCGAAATGCTTTCTTCTGAGGCTTGTATAGCGTATTCTTCTAGTTTTGCTTTCTCAATTTCAGTCAACCATTTTTCATTCATAAAGATACATCTTCAAGATTTTCTAAAGGATAATGATGGTTATGCCAGAAAAATGCCCCTTGATATGGTAAATGAAGGGCACTACTTGAGCAAATTTTTCATCGCCGAAATTTTTTTCTGTTGGTATTACTGTTGTCAATGTGCATTGGTTCTTTTGTAAAGGTCGAGGAAGATTAGCGACTTTGAGTGAAAGGATCAAAGTTCATCGTTTTTTTTTTTGTAGTACAGGCGAGTAAACTCATTCTGTAGTGTTCTCCTTTTTAAATTTATTGTCTCGATTCACAATTTGTTTAATCATTGAATACTTTCTTAAAGGGAGAGAATGCTTGAAGTAAGTGAATTACATGTTGAAAGAGTTAATTGAAATCTTATGTGTAATTTTATAAGGATGTGCATTTCCCATTCGATGGTATCACTTTATTATTATTCTAACGAATATCCAATGTTTTTTTCCCTTTCCTTTCCGCATCCCCAAACCCTTGGTCCGATGTGATGGAACTACCCATTCGCTTCTTTTCCTCATGCAATTATTTACACATATATATTTATATATTTATATTTATTTATATTCTTTTTTCTTCAGGGGGTGAACACTCACGAAGAAAATAGCATCATGTTTTTTGGCAATGAAACGCCCTTTCATTTAAAACCCATTCCATACCGGGGGCTGCGCAAACACGAGGCCGAGGCGGTTTTTCATTACCCCGGGTACCAACACCCCTTATCCTCCGCGGCGCTCCAAGCGGAGTCGAACCCCTTTTACATCAGTGAGGCCCACCGTCTTCACCCCTTTCTCACCCCGGAGGACGAAATCCGGCATGACGTTCACCTTCAGCAGGAAAAGCGCGAGAAGGTGATTCAAATTCGCCGCCAACGTCAGCTTTCGGCGTCTCGGAAGCTCCAGGAAAGGCGCGAGGTCGAATTTCAAAAACAGCAGGCGCGTTCGGCCAAGCTGGTCGGGACATCCATCCGCAATTACGAGTCCGAGTTTCGCGATACCATCACCCACCGCTGTCGGACCGTCGAGGCCGAAAAAACGTGCGAATACAACGAGGCCATGATGAAGCACCGCTACCACCAGCGGCAACGAAAGCTCGACGAGGCGAATAATTCGCGATTTAATATTTTGTCGTGGGAGCCTCGCAAAGCGGTCGACGTGCCTCCCAAGCCCAGCCTTGAATAGCTCGACCTCGACTTTGAGGAAAGGAAAGGTTTCTGAAGTACTTGATTTTACAACTCAAAGGATACTCAAAAGTTTTGGAAGAGGGAGGGGGAAGGGGGGATAGCGCACCCCTCTTCCCCCCCAAAACAAAAGAAGTTCTTGATCAGTTGGATGCCATAATCAGAGATGGCATAACGTTGGGTGAATAAGATGTTAATGGATGACATATGAAAAATATATTCCTCTATTTGTGAGGGAATTCGACACCAAAGGTCGAAATAAAGCGAATCAACCACAACAATTCCTTGAGTTCTAGTGTCTAAACATATATATGTATATTCTTAGACCTTTGTTTTCCTTCAACAATTGTCGAATTACTCCACATCGCCGTGTTTTATCACATTTTTTTAATCTATTATTTCACCCTATTGTCCAATATCTTATTCCTTTTATCTTTATTGCCTTACAACCATGATTTTATTCTATTTTCCAGACAAAAGGTGTTAGTTTCTGGATTCACCTTTTATTTTTGTGAATCATCTATTAGGTTTTTTTTGCTGATGAAGTGAATATCTTAGTCAATTGTCAAGAGGATAGTCGAGGTGTTTTTGCCTGAAAATGATGGGAAAGAGGAGCAGGCTTGCCCGGCATTATTGATTTCGGAAAACGGAAACCGTTGTTCAAAAGAACAGGCATCCAATGTGAATTTCATTCCATTTCGTTTGTGAACTTTGATCAACTCAGCTTCGATCACGTCGCGGAGATTGATTCCAGTACAACTACAGGATGTCTCCATTTCCTCTTTTTGGTTAAATGATAGTTTCGCCAACTCCGACCGCCGCCGGGATCGTTTTCGGACTTATTGTCCTGGATTAAGCAGCCCATATTTTTCCTTTGGGGTGGTATTACCCCAAACTTTACCATCGGTCGTTCGTTTATGGACTTGGTGTAAATTATCTCCACAGGATGGCTGTCGTCTTTATTTTTTTACAGTGTTTTCCCCGGCCTAAATGCCCGCAGGGGTGGGGGCAAAAATCCCTTTCCCTTTTATCGACGTTTCTGCTCAGGTTGTTTCACTTCCTACCTTGGCGTCTTCCGGTCTTTCTTTTATAAATCGGTTTAATGGGCAAACGAATCTTTGCGGCACTTCAAAGCTCTGCAAAAGGACGTATTTTTTTTTATTTGGCGAACCCATATCAAAAAGAGTTTATTAGCTGCAATCTCTATTTTAAGGAGGAGGTTGATATGGGGATAAGGAGGGTCATCTACCACAGCATATCAGCAGTTCCCGCAAAGCATCAATAATGAAGTACGCCCCGGAGGGTGCTGAGCAATTGTTTTGTTGTCCACATTCTTTTTATCATTGCTATTCCAAAGATCAATCCCAGACAATTACCCATTTCCACCAATCCCAAGAAGGGACCTCAAACAACCTTTCTTGTCGTACTTTTCATCATTGCCAGGATCTCTTTAATGCGATCTTCAAGGCAAATGAAGAGGGGGGTTTCGAATGCTGCGGTGATTTACCAGATCGTTTGCGGTCTTCGCCCTCGCCGCCTTCACGGATGGGGGTGCAATCATTTAGCGTACGCTTTGCCGGATCTTATCCCGTTGTGAAAGGCTTTTCGTTCTTGGGCGCATCTTCGGCGCATTCATATCGTTATCCTACCACTTGCTTGCGCTCAGCGCTAGCGAAAGAGAAAAATAAATTACGTTCCTTCCTGGCGGGTGGCCATGCCACGTTGCTCAATCTTTCTGTTTCCCTGCGTTAGCGCTTTTGCATTTGAGTGCTTCGAATCTTTCATTTTTTACTGTTTTTTATTTATTTTTATCGTATATTTACCATATCTTCCTATTTTCAGTTAGACTAACGGAAAGCAAGCGTTTTTTTCTTTTTTTTTCCCACCACCTATCCGAATAACCACATCATTTTCAAGTTAGTTTCACGCTATGGCCGAGCAGGTAACGAATGAGAACCTTCAGGTCCTTCTCACGAAGCTCATGACCGATCGGTTCTGCAGCCAGGAGGCGAGTGATCTCGATGCGTGCATTCAGAACTTCGTCCCGCAGCGAATCGACGGTAGTTTTGTGGATCAGAGCCTCCAACGGCGCGGGTTAAATAAGTGCAAGCCCTACCGGGAGGTCGTACAGCGGTGTTTAGAGGATGATAAGCGGCAGGGCGCGGTCTTTCGCGCGGCCGCCGTGGCACCCGTCTGCCGGAAAGAGCAAAAAGCCCTCCAGCGATGCCGGCAAATCGGAGGGCGCGATTGTGAACGGGAGGCCCTTGAGACGATTTATTGTGGGATGGTGTACTTAGTGCAGAGGCAGAAGGAGCGGCAACGATTTGCCCCTTCCATGGAATAAGCGCGGAATGAATTCTCCAACACATACATACATATATAGATATACCTATATCTATATGTACTTAGATGTTTTTAGTCCGTACGAGTAACAACACGATAAAGAGGCAAGGTCCGAAAGTAGTGGAAAGATAGCGGCAGTAAGTGGTAAGGGGTTTGATTGGTTAATGACTGTCGTGCAAGTGGTATTAACCTCTTGATTCTGGGAATATTCTCTGAAGAGTCCATCCTATAGGTGGGGAAGGGGTTAGGGAAAGAGCCCCGTTTCTTATCCTTCGAATACTAACCTTTCTGGCTATCTATTCCTCCAGAATACGCATGAAAAACTGTACTAAAAAGACTAAAATGCTAAATAAACGTATGTGAATTATGGTGAAAATGAAGCGAGTTAAAAAACATCACATTAAAACAAATTGTCTCAGTAAAAATGCCTCATTTCGTTCTCTAACGGCGAGCATAATGTCCTGACAGGAAGAGAAGTTGTAATGTCAGATGGTAGGTTCGATGCTTTGTTCAATTTTTGTGTTCTGTCCTGTGTTATG